TTTAGAGGATTGCTGTTGTCAGGACACTTGGATTTCAGACCTAACTTTTGATACTCATTACTGTGTAATCCTAAGCAAATCCCTTAACTGCTCTGAACCTCTGTTTCCTTATCACTAAAATGGAAATAATAATATTTCTCCTACTTGGCTCATAAAGTTATTGTAGGGTAAACAATTTATAAACCACAAATTCTATAGAAATTTTAATTCTTAATACCATATTATTATACAAAACATGATATGATGTATAGACAGCCAGCCTTGGAGTTAGGAAGACCTGAGTTCAAATCCTAACTCTGATACCTGCTGGCTATGTGACAATTTGTGACCCTAATCAAATCACTTCATCCCTCAGTGCCTGGGGCTGCTCTCTTGGTCCTGAAGTTGTAGGGCAGGTACTAATCCACATTTGTGATGGGAGTTTACTCACTAGGCATTTCCAATATCAATGTAATCTCAAGTACTATCGTGTGTATGTGTATTTCTATGAACACACACACAAATCAAGTAACACTGAAAACTATAACAGTTTTGCTTTGTTTGTTTGTTTGTTTGTTGGCTAGGCAGTAGAGTTAAGTGACCTGCCCAAGGTCAAACTGCTAGTAAGTGTCAAGTGTCTGAGGCTGCGTTTGACTTCAGGCCCTCCTGACTCCAGGGCTGGTGCTCTATCCACTGCACCACCTCGCTGCCCCCAACTATTATAGTTCTAAACAGTGCCCTGGTGCTAATAGCTGGAGTTTGAGGTGGTCGATGAAGGCCTAAAAGTAATTCTTTATTTAAAATAGAATTAATTTTTTTTTGTTTTTCTCCTAGTTACATGTAAAAACAACTTAAAAGTCGTTCTTAATCCTGAGTCCTGCTGGGTCTCAGATACTTCTAGCAGCTGAGCAGACCCTTACAGTTGCAGCAGATATTGGAAAGCCAGGGATTCTGCTTCTCCTGGTACCTGGATCTAATCATAAAAATAAAATAATTTGATTATAGCTCACATTGAATTCACAGGTTTTGCTTTACAGAATGTTTTTTCATAACCATTCAGTCAATAAACATTTATTCAATGCCTATTAGGTACCAGGCAGTGTGCTAAGTTCTGGGGATACAAAAAGAAGCAAAAGGCAATCCCTGCCCACAAGGAGCCTACAGTCTAATGGGGGGGGGGACATGCAAACAAATATATACAAAGCAAGCCACACACAGGATAAATGGAAAATAATTAGCAAAGGGAAGACACTAGAATTAAGAGGGGTTGAGGAAGTCTTCCAGTAAAAGCTGGGATTTTAACTGGGACTTCAAGGAAACCAATGAAGTCAGCTGGCAGAATTGAGGAGGGAAAACATTCCAGGCATGGGGAATAGCCAGAAAAAATGCCCAGGGCCCAGAGATAATGTCATGTTCATGGAACATCCAGGGGGCCAGTGTTACTGGATCAAAAATTGGTGAGTTTGGTAGTACAAGTGTGATTCTTCCTAGTTTACCTTTGAGGAAACCACACAGGATGGTAGAGGAGGGCAAATAGAGAGGATCTTAATGACTTACTCAAAGTCACATAGGAAACCAATAACAGAGCTCCAGGGGTTTTATCTGCCCTGTCTCCCAAGAGCTCAAGCAGCAGGATTTTACATGATTTCGCTCATCTTCCATTCCCTTTGGCTCAAGACCACGCATTCTCAGGCTCATTACCTCAGAGGTCATACCTGAATAAGAATTCTCCACTCCAACATCCCACATAAGTAATAAGCATCCAACCTTCACATTAATTTATTTAGCAACAGAACTCATCATGTCCTGAGGCAGCCTGTGCATATTTTAAACAATACTAATTGTTGGGTAGATTTTCCTTACATCAAACCTAAATTTTCTTCTTTATAATATTTCCCTAGATAGATGGAGCAGTGGGAGTCAGTAAGACATGAGTTCAGATCCAGTCTCTGGACACTTGCTAGCTGCAAGACTCTGGGCAAGTCACTTAACTTATTTACCTCAACTTCCTCAACTCTAAAATGGGGCTAATAACAGCACCTACTATGAAGGGTTATTGTGTGGATCAAATGAGATAATACTTATAAAGCACCTGACACTTAGTAGGCATCATAGAGAATGTTATTCCCTTCTCTTCCCCCGCTCCCCTACCTTCCCCGATAAGGGACAGACGTCCAGGTGCGGCTGGCCTGCTTACCTTGATGATAATCCTCCTCTCACAGAATGTGTTACCTGAATTTTTTCCATTTCACCTTATTCCTCAAGAAAGAGTAAACAGCAGAATTGTGTGTGGTTTCACCTTGGTCCACCTGATAATACAACAATTAGAGGTTAAGTTGGGTTACCAAATATTCTATTTAAAAATACAAATACCCCTGGAAGGTTAAAGAGTTGTCATTCATGAACAATTCAGTCAGACTACTTTATTCTAAGATTTGCCTGAGAACATCTAGATCAAGGGAAAAGGGTTTCTGATTGGGCATGGGGAGGCTGAAGGGAGTACTTGTAGGTAAGTTTGACACATGGGCACCTGGGGGTAGGGCAGGCCGGGGGGGGGGGGAGATGCTGTGGTGGGGGGCTTCGGTCAGCATGAGGGTTATGGGGACCTGGGGGCCTAATGAGGAGGGCACCAGGAGGTGGGGGAGGGTGCAGATAAGGAGGTGGGAAAATGTCAAGGACAAACTTCACTTATTTCAAAATTTTGCCTAGGGCCAGCCCTGCATCCCGGAAAGGAGGACGAAATTCTTCCTCCTCCTCTTCCCTCCTGCTCACAGGACCCAGAACTCAGGCTAGTACTAATGGGACTATAGTTCTACTATATTATGGGTTAAATAGGCTTTTTTGGGTTGGCCTGGGAATTTGATCACCTTTTAGAACATTGTTTCTATGGGGAAATGTGTCCTGAGTTCCAAACAAGCAATTTACAAGGTAAGCTTTTGGAATACATTCCATCAGTAACCTGCAGGTCTGCCTGAGTTCTTAAATCACTATTCCTTTATTTATTCGCTACTTAGGCTTCCTGGTATTCTGACAGGTCCCAGTCCCAAAAGACACAGCTATTTAGTTGAATATGCTTAGTGAACAATTCAATTGCAACTGATTTTCAAAATATTAAGTGTTTAAATATATTTTAAAAATATGTAATAAACATTATTATCATTAATAACTGTAATATAATAATAATAATAATATCTGAGACAGGCAGCATGACATACTGGAAAGAGACACAGCTTCAAAGGCCAAAAGGTCAAGGTTGAAATCTCCTCATCCATACTGGCTTTCTGACCCTGGGCCAAGTCACCTAAACCTCTCAGTGCCCTAGACAGCTCTCTAAGATCATAATTTTCTGAACAGTTGCTGGTCTGCCTTTAGCAGGGCAAGTTTCTTCACCAGGAGCTTTCTATATGGGTGATATCACAGGTCAAGACAAATAACACCAGACACTTATATAGCATTTTAAAGTTTGCAAACTGCAGATCAATTAAGTGACTTGTCCAAGGTCAAAATTTAAAAGATATATATGTATATATACATTCTTAGAAAAATGTTGTTCCATTCAATTTGCCGTGGGTAGGCAATACAGACCTAGGTATCCATTGCAAGCCCACTGTTTGCATGTGACTGATTTATCTTGTGATTTAGAAATCTGGTTCTCTAGTGATGTGGGCTTGGATAAGGCCCTAGTATGCCTCTGCATAATGTAATCACATAGTGAATATTATAGTAAGCAGCCAAAATATTAGCATGTGATAGACAGAGACAGAGATAGAGATAGAGATAGATACAGATACAGATAGATGCAGATGCAGATAAAGATATACAGATGTAGATACAGATAAAGGACACAAAGTTTGGGATCATTAGAGATGCAGCCATCATTACAGAATAGTATAATGATTGGCTACTGAAGAATGCTTTAGAAATATAATGCCTAGCTCCTTGCACAGGCAGAGGAGTCCATGTATACCTGACTCCTAGTTAAAAGAATTGCCAAAGCTGGAGAAGTGGTCAGCTTTTTGGAACCACTACATCGAAGGATGTATTTGATGACATTCACTCAAGTGGTCAAATTGCCTCTCCCACAGATTACCTGTGGAGAAGAGGGGGAGGGAACAGTACAGATAGCCTGAATTGGAATCAGCTGTGTTTGACAAATAGCAGCATTAAAATTTCTGGAATTTTTGAAACCCTCATGGGAAATCACGTTTATCTTGAATTCAAAAATGGGAGAAATGCAAAAAAGTAAATAATTATTTAGTACCATTTTCCAAAGTAAAGTCAGCTTATTAGTTTAAGAATACACAAATGTATTATGCATGACTTGATTTACTCATAAAATTATCTTGTCTGTTATGTTTAGAGTTGTGAAGGTGGAAAAAGAAAAAAAGAAACAAAAATTCAGGGAAAACTAGTTTTTTCCTGTTATTGTTTTCCTTCCATCCCCTGCCCCTGTACCCTCAGGTCTTTATGAGAAACTTATGCCACCAAGTTGCTGAAGTAGTGTCAAATGAGATTTACAAAATATGAAAGAGAGCACAACTTTTTTAAATTGAAAAATTAGATTACAGCCTGCTTTTATAATTGGTATTGGAAGACAGGACTAACAATTGTGTGTACTATACACTAGCTGTGTGACAGCAGGCTTTTGCCCCGTATAGTTATATTTTATGATGATGTAATTTGACCTGGGGTATATCCTAATCAGTGTAATGTTGAACCATATCAGAATGCTGTCCCACAGTATAAAAATTAAACTAAAGATATTTGAATTTAGTAAAACCAGAGAATGTGAAACTAAAAGAATAAGCCAGTCTTTTCAAAAGAGTGACTGTCAAAGATGTGCATACCCCCTTTCTCCCAGAGCAGCGCAAATATTTGCCTCCTAAATAAATTTTCTTGTGTCGGACACATGGCAAACACCAGCCAAACATTTGCCCCTTTTCAAAAAGTCTTGATATTGTTTCAGAAAAGACTCAGTTTTTTTTCTTTCTTTTTTTTTTTTTACCCCTCCTTCTCCTCAGGTACAATCCTTGGATTTGCCCTCCGGCCATACAGAATGAGCTACCGGGAAGTTAAGTACTTCTCCTTTCCAGGAGAACTTTTAATGAGGATGTTACAGATGTTGGTGTTACCGCTCATCGTCTCCAGCTTAGTCACAGGTACTAAAGTCAGCTTTGTTTTGCTTTTCCCTATCTTTTGTATATGGAAGACCTTTTATCACCATACATTGTAAACGTGAAAAGCCCCTCGGTCTTGGCTGGATGCATGCTCAAGTCTAGAATGAAAAGTTTCCTTCAAAATGGTGGCAGGGAGGTTTTTTTTGTTTGTTTTTGTTTTTAGTAATGCATGAGTGATCACGCCTCTCCCATTTGACCAATCACAAAGGGAAACAGATTTTAAATAGCCAATTAATCTGCTCTGTCTTCAGTATGAAAGAGGTACCCTTCTGAAAACACGTTCTCTACCGCGTACAACAGGTCTGTTTTCTCACCCTCTTATCCCACCCAGATAACATCTGGTTGGACAGCCTATTAGCTATTGATGCAAGAATGCTTGTTCTAAGAACCGCCAAGACTTGAACTGCGGCCTCCGTGGAAGCCTCACCACGAGGTAATGCCCACGACACACTCACAAGACTCTGCTGCCACCAGCAATGTATCTTTTCTGCCTCCCTGCATGATTTTCGTTTCCTTCTCCAGTTATACTCCCCACCTCCCAAACCTTTTCAACAGAGGGGAGAACTGGGAGGGGGTGGGGAGACTTTCCATCTGGAACCCTATAAAATGTCAAGGTTAATTTCACCTCCTGAACTCTGGAATTCCAGAGTAGAAACTAGCAGGATAGGATTGTGTCCTTTTGAGAGAAAGGGAGAGAGAAAAGAAAAAAGAGTGTGTGTGTGTGTGTGCGCTTCTGGGAGAGAGGCCGCAAGTAACTCTTGACGGGGTTGCTGTCGAAGGCTTATTTGCATGCTCGCTCGTGATTGGTGCACACCCGTGGAACTGAAAGTCTAGAGAGCAATGTCCATTCCTGAGCATTCCATCCCACCCACTCGCTAATTCCCCCGACTGCGGCACATCCACTATGTGTAGGCAGAATTCAGGAAGGCCCAGGAGCTATGAAGCTTAGCTGCTAAAATCGGAGCTGCATTCGTCAGGAGAACCCAGCAGCAGCACGCACCTCCCGCTCCCCTTCCGTCCCAGTTCACTATCTAACGTGGACAAATCACTCCAGCTGTTTATGATTCAGCGTCTGACCCATCCAGCTACCTCTCACACCTCTTGGGGGGTGGGCGGCATATTTCAAAGTAATAGGATTTTAGAGCTAGAAAGGACCCTGGAGATCTTCTTACCCCATTCCCACGTTTTACAGATGAAGAAACTGAGGGATGTCCAAAGAAAGGAAGCAACTTACCTATGGTCCAGCATTTAGTTAGTAGCAGAGCTGGGACGTGACCACAGCTCCCTTGAACTCCAAAGTCAGTGCTTGATTCACTTTATCATGATGTCTGTCATGATCCACTTTAGAGATTTATGAGTGACTGTTAAGGGCTTTGTAAAGCTTAGAGCACCCTATAAATGTAAGCCATTATTAGTATTACTTGTCTCCACTCACCAGCATCAGATTCACTGCATTTGCAAGTATCCCAGTCAGGGAGGGGAAATCTGACACCTACCCCCAATCCCCTCAAAAAAAGATATTTCTGTCTGGCACATTTTTGGTATTTGTTTGCAAAACTGACTCTTAATAATAGCCTGATATAGGCTATTGCACAAGGATACTTCCACATTTGTTACTCCTTCGCTGCAGTTTTTCTGGGAAGCAAGTTGTGTACAAATAGTCCAGAACAGAAAAACACACTTTTTTAGTGGGTTTCATTGGAACAATGAGTTCCTCACCACTGTTCCTGCTTCCTGCTCCTCTGACAGCCCTTTAGTGTCACCTGATAGGACCATCTCTCTCTTTTCCTGAGTTGAGGCTCCAATTTGGATCACACCCCATTAGGGTCCTTTATTCCTTTTAGCTTGCTTTCCTGTCCTGCAAGGTGGGGCTATTGCTGCTCAGAGGTTTTGGACAAAGGCCAAAATCTTTTGCTCCTGGCAGCTCTGCTGAGACCCCCATTGCTAATAGTCACTAATCACTGGTTGAAGGAGGTCAGCCAGAGATCCTGTTGTGTGTTATTTGATTATAGAAAATGTTTCTTCAATTCTTCAGACATCCCAAATGACAGCTGTAAGCTTGGCATTGTTGATTTGAAAGAGCTTCCTGGAGGGAGTGGGAGGTACTGACTGGAAGGACAAGACCCCAAAAGACAGCTTTTGGCAACTCTCTTTGGAAGGATTTTGTGACTGGAAACCTCCAAGGTAGAAACCTAAAGTTTAAAAAACAAAGGAAAACAGAATTGCAGGCAAGTTGTTGCTGCCACTTTATGGGTACCTGCTGAGTTCAGGAATAGAAAAGTAGTTTGGGCAGCACCGCAAATGGGATGACAATAAGGAGCCAAACTCTCAGTGCTCACTCCCCCTCCCAGGATCTGATTCTCTTTTAACTATACCACCTGAGTGAGAGCCTTATGACCCAGTTCTCCTCCCAACTCCACCTGTCCTTCCTTTTTTTTTTTAGCATCCTTGGAGATAGCTGTATACCTGCTCACTAACAGATGAGCAAACAAAGTATGTAGAGCTTATGTAAGCACCTTTTAAGTTAGCAGAAGTATTGTGACATGCTTGTAAGGCTATGCAAAATCCAGACATGAGAGAAGTTTGAATTGCAATATTCAGGAGCTGGCTATACAACAGGTGGCTGATTTAGTCTTTTCCTTTTCCCTTTCTCTTCCTGTGTTACACATACTGAATTTACTTCTCAATTGCAAGTAAAGACAAAGACCAAGTTGATTTTGCTCTTTTATTTTGCCTATCTTATTAAAGGCTTGATAGCAGAGAAAGCTAAAACTTTTGGACAGAATGTAATTTGGGGATTGTTGTTGGGTTCCGTGGACTGAGTCTGTGCTAGACTTCTGCTTCATTTACATCAGAAAGAGAAAGTAGATTAATCTTGGTCTTAAAAAGTGGTTATCGGGCACAAAAGATCCTAAGTAGTTGTTCAGTTTCAGAGAACTCACCTGTGTGAAAAAAAAGTCTCAAAGGTATCACTCAACTTGGCAAAGATGCGTCAGGCTTTTGTACCAAAGGAGTAATTCAAAGCTACATATTAGTTTGACTGTTTCTGATGGGTTGGGGTATACAGTAACCTAGGAGCCTTCTGTGGCCTTTCTAAGGTAGGTGATTTCATGAAGAGGGAGCCTGTCTTTCTGAAATGAAGCATCATCAGACTCAGACACACACTAGGTTGTGACTGGGCCTCATGTATGCAACTTTTCCTACTGACAGATAGCTCTGGGCCAAAGCTTAACCCATAACAGGGACTCTGCTACTCAACACACCATTTCCTGCCTGCTAAACAAATAGCTATCAGAAAACAGGCATTCTACCTTCTTGGTGTAACTCAAGTTGTTTAAGAGCTGCTGGCCTTTTCTCTGCACGCCATGAATGCCAGTTTAAGAACTCAGAGGTGGTGCCCTAAGTGAAATGCTTTTCCCAAAAGGAAATCTATTGAGAGAGAATATTCTGAGTTCAGCACTCTCTGCTTTTGAGTAGGACAGGTCCTTAGTATGCACCAAACCCAAACCACTACTTTTTAATGTTTTATTTAGCCAAGGCATTTCATTTTAGGGAATTAGGGAAAATGTACCTTAACTTTAATTCTGCCAATCTTAACCTTGAAATTTCCCCTGTGAAGTCCCATTTATGCTCTTCCAAGTGGCATCATCATATTTGATCATTCTAACTCCTCTAAGCCATGCTGTACATGTTTTTCTGAAATTCAAATCCCCATACCTACTGAACATCTGGAGTACATGGAGGGCATATCAGAATTTGAGAAACTAAGGGAAAAAATTGGAGTAAAAGCTTTTTAGCCAAGGACTTCATTTTCTTAAGAGAAGAGTAAGTCTATTTCGATATAGAATAAATGGATATCTGGCAATATGTGACTAATTTCATCATTGGCTCCATCCAACTAGGTTTTTTCAGGCCAAAGACATTACACATGTTGGCTTTCTGAAGAAGTTAACAGGAAAATGATTAAATCTTCATGACACATGACCTATGGCCCCCTGTTGACTTTTGGAATCTCTGCAGCAAATGAGAGCTAGCTTTCCCATTTAGATTTGTTCTTCCTATACTTCTTCCTCTTTTTGTCTTACTTACTCCATCCTTATCACTTCGGAGTCCATAAAAATGCATTTATTTTGGATCACTGTCAGCATCTTTGACACCCAAAATCTGCATAAAAGACATCTTTTTGTTCATGTTTCCACAGTAGAAAGTGAAGATAAGGTAAGTGGCACACAGCTGGCGTTAGAATAGTTAGTCAGGAGTTTTACATGTTCAATACTTATGTCCCTTGGTAAAACTATGAAGCAGGAAAAAATTATTTTCAGTATGCTCCCCTCCTCTATCCCTTCTGAAATCATATGGCATAATTCCAGGCTTTATGATACTTAGGTAGGAAAGATACATTTAGCCAGTGGGCCTTCCTGACGCACCTCAAATAACAACATAGGCAAACAGTGGGGCAGCTAGGTGATGCAGTGAGTAGAGAACCAGCCCTGGAGTCAGGAGGACCTGAGTTCAAATATGGCCACAGACACTTGATACTCACTAGCTGTGTGACCCTGGGCGAGTCACTTAACCCCAATTGCCTCTCCAAAAACAAACGAATAAAAAATATCATTTCATCTCTAGTTAAGACTGACTACAGAAAGAAAAAGTAGTTTCACAACTTGCTATGAGGAAGAGAAAGTTTGATTGACTAAGGATATAACCCAAAAGGTAGAGCTGTATCATTCTCCTGGTCTTCTTAAGATTCAAATTTAACAAATGTTTCTCAAATACCCACTGTGTGCATAGCTGTAAGCTAGGGGTTGGGTCTCTGAGGTAATTTTATGGCACACGTCACATAGTATTTTAATAGTTTCCCTCCACATATTTTCAACAGTAAATTTATTAAACAAATTGCCATTGAAGTCAGGAAACTTGTGTATTGTAAAAGATTTCACAGTTACAGACCAGGATCTTCTGTATCTGGGAAAAATGGTCAG